CAAGGTAACAAGAGTGTTGGAAGTTTTTCTGGATTTGGTGAGTTGTTGGTGATAATGTATATACATTGATATGATAGATTGAAAGAGAAGGAACAGATATCACAATCACAGCTTTCTCCAAGATGGTGGGATATGCTCTTAAGGTCGGTTAAGTTTCAATAGCCTCCAAGCCTCCTCTCCGCAGTCCACATATATAATAAATATTTTTTGATTTTATTTTAGGCTGCAGAAATACTTGAAAAGGAAGGGATAAGTGCGGAGGTGAGCTACTGGTCCTAAAAGAAAAAGAAAAAGAAAGAGAAATTTGTTTTGGTTAAAATGTAAATATGTAATTTAACTTGTACAGATAATAAACCTGCGGTCGATCCGGCCACTAGATAGAGCCACAATAAACGCCTCTGTCAGGAAAACAAACCGACTGGTGACTGTGGAGGAAGGCTTTCCTCAGCATGGTGTTGGTGCTGAAATCTGGTATATATTAATTATTATTAATTACTATAAAATTTATAACAGAGTTAATGAATGGATTTGTGTTATGTATGTAGTGCATCGGTGGTTGAGGATAGCTTTGCTTATCTCGATGCACCTGTGGAGAGGATCGCCGGGGCTGATGTTCCCACACCTTATGCTGCTAATCTTGAGAGATCTGCTTTTCCTCAGGTCTTTTTATTTTCTATAAATAAAATAAATAATAAGTCAATTAAATTTGTTTTGTGCGTGTTAGTTATTGAACATGAGCACGATGATATATGTTTTGTTTGTGTTGCAGATTGAGGACATTGTTCGTGCAGCTAAAAGAGTATGCTACAGATCTGTACCCATGGCTGCAACCGCTTAACTTTAATTAATTATGCCCTTTTTCTTTCCCATCCATCCAAGTTTTGGGTTTTCTACCTGTACCTGTACTTGTACATGTCTTCCAAAAGAGTTAAAGACATGCTGTTTTTAATAAGCTTGAAAGGAATTCCTGAGTTTTACTTTCCTTTTTTCTTCATTTTCCTTCTTCCATGTTTTTTTTTTTTTTTATATTTAACTTAAAAACTGTTCTGTATTTTCTATTTCCTATTTCCAACACGATGTTATGTGGCTGGTATTTGACGGGATGGATTATCTACAGCACACCACACCCTATGAAATTCAAACTATGCAAACCATTCCACCAAGGCTAATGGGAGTCGTCTCGGTGGCAAACATTATGCCGAATACTCGCAAGCCGATTTTGGCAATGGGCTTTTGATGAGAGAGATGTTAGGTTAATTTTTTTTTAACAAATATCATATTCAAGAAAAAAACCAATTTTTCAAAATGTAACTATTATTTTTTCAAAATTTTAAAATTTAAATCTTTCATCAACTATTATAAATAGCAACATACTTCTTTATTTTTCACCATATTAAAACCTTCTTCATTCAACTCCTAATCTTTTATATTTTCTATCATCTTCAAACCTTTATTTCTAAAAAATGGCTCAATTTTGGACCACAGACGAAGAGATTATGTCCGCTTGTGTCTGGATCTATGTAATTGTAGAGCTAATCAACATCAACGCTATAAATGTATCTATTTTCTAGAGGAGAGTTACCTAAAAAAATACAACTGCAAAGCAGGTCCAGATTGAAATAAAGATCTACTCTTCTCCAAATGGAGACATTCAAACATAATTGCACTGCACTTACATACACCGTGTTTCTTAGGATGAGGCATGGAGCAGTAAATAGTGAAAGTGAATGAATTTTGTTGGTCAATGCTCTTGAGGTTTTCCGTGAAAAAAGTCAAAAACTAACAAATCTTTCGGTTTACTCAGTTTTGACAAATTGTGAGGCAGAGCGACAAATGAGTTCAGCATGTTGAATGAAATTGTGTTGTATTTTATTTTAATTTGAAGTTTGTTTTAATGTCCTGCATGTTTTAACTTTAAGTGTCTTGTGTGTTTTTTAATCTTAAGTTCGTTGTCCTTTAATTTCAAGTGTATGTGTTCTTGGTATTTTAATGAAAAATTTAGTTTAATATATTAGTTTTTATAGAAAAAATATATTTTTTTTGTTTAAAAAGAATGTATTGCATGGAAAAAGTGCCAAACATGCTTTCTAGATGCCAAACTTAAAAAAAAGTGTGAAAAGTCTTAGGTAGTGCTTACGTGACAACAAAAATGATTTGACAATAATGACCCTACTCTTTCAAGTCTAACTACTCTTATAGTATTATTATTGTCTATAAGTACTTTAAAAACAGTGTTAATATACATCACTCATATAAATTATCAAATAATAAATGATACACACTATTTCAATCACAAAGAAATACACGAAAGAATTTGGAGTGTCTATATATATATATATATATATATATATATATATATATATATATATATATATATATATATATATATATATATAAAATTACCCAAAAAAAAACCCCTTAAACTTAAAAAAAATGCCTCATGCCATTTAAGTCTTATCAAGTTATAAAAATACAAAGTTTTATTATATATATATATATATATATATATATATATATATATATATATATATATATATATATATATATATATATATATATATAATTTGTTTTTCAGCAATTTTATATAAAAATAGTGATTTTTAATTTTGTAAAGGTAAAAAAAAGATATCTCAAAGTATTTTTATACATTTTAAGGGTTTTTTTGATTTATGAATTTTCTATTGATCTTTCATATATATATATATATATATATATATATATATATATATATATATATATATATATATATATATAGGTTAATGCGAAAACATAAATATTTTATAAAAATACGGAAACGGATTTTATTTTATAAAAATCAAACACATATACTTTGGGAGCGCCAAGGACCGCCTAGCCCAATTTTCACCGATATTGACCAATTTTTGCCAAACACCCCTAGTCGTAATCAGTTACAGACCGCCTAGGCTGATATATATATATATATATATATATATATATATATATATATATATATATATATATATATATATATATATAGTGAGAGAGAGAGAGAGAGATAGAGAGAGAGAAATGAATTGTATGGAAAACAAATAACTAGGTCAACGTATGGTGGAGCCAATAATCAAATGATACGTATCCATTTTTTTATTCACAAGTAATGTATTGTGGAAGTTGTTTATGTAGTTATTTTAAAATGATGTGTTGTTATGTTTTCATCGGTTTATATGTGTTGCCCTAATCATTAATTTTTCATATAACCTTTTCATATATATATATATATATATATATATATATATGTATATGTATATATATATATATATATATATATATATATATATATATATATATATATATATATATATATATATATATATATATATATATATAGAAAGAGAGAGAGAGAGTGAGTGAGAGAACTTTATATTTTTTTGACATTTTATTCATATACGTTGTTTAATGTTTTTTCTATTTCACATTTTATTCATTAAATTTTTTTTTGAAGTTTTTTCAAATAAAATTTTCTAAAATTTTTCACGTTTGATTCGAACATATTTAAAAAATGTTTTTGGATGATTTGATTGTAAATTTTTGTTAAAGATCCCATCCTCACTGTATAAAAATAAAAATGGCCAACACAAAAAAGCATAGGTATTTTTGTAAATAATATCATAAAAGTTGAAAAAGTTAAATGGTTAATAATATCGTTAAGGGTGTAGGCAATATGTTATCACATCCCAAAGTTGCCACCGTACCAGCCATATCAAAATGGTGTTATAATACAAACTAGTAAGTAAACCCGTGGTAAACCACGGGGCATTTTTAATTATTTTTTGATCTATATATTTGTAACGGCGAATATAAAAAATATGTAATTTTTTTTGAATTACTGAATTTTATAAAAAATAGTTGGAGCCCTTGGTTAGAGAGGTAAGGGTAGGATCAAAAAACTTCTTACCCGGACAAATAACCATTTACACCAGTTACAAATGTCCAAATTGCCCCTAAATTCAATCTGATTGAAAGTAGTTGTATTAAGGGAATCCGTTGTTTCGTTGGAGAGATGAACGATTGTTAGTCGGAAAGAAGGAAAACTAAAGAAAGCCCGGTGCTAATTTGAAATGTTCTTTTAGTAGGTTAGTTTTTATTATAAGAGTAAAATAAAGGGTATATTAAGATAAATTGAGTTGTTTAAAGGACCTAAGTTGTAATAACTTGAAAATGTTTAGTTTTGGGTAAAAATTAAATCCGAGCGGGTTACTCGTCTCCTCTATTCACGAAAATGGTTTATCAGAAAGGGGTCTGGTATGTCTACCCTAAATTCGTTTTACATATGTAATTGGAAGAAGGTAAGAGGCATAAGAGAACAGATTTAGATACCGTTCGAAGAATCTGTTACGAATTTCTTGAATAGGATAGATCGAATATGTCAATTTCGGTGTCGGTGGAGTAGTGTGAATAACCCTTTAAGCCGTATGACAAAAAGAAACGGGCACAGTTGAGTTGGTGGATTCAAATTATGATTTGCTAGAGCTTATGATTGAGAATAGTGAGGAACGGAGCATTTTCGATCAATGGTGACAGTTTATCGAAGAGAAAGGTAAATATGTAGTGAATTTAAAAGTCTTTGTTGTCATGTATGTGCGTTAAGCAATACCTATGCTCTGCACATGGAAATAAATGTGTTATTGTGTGGATTTATAACAATACAACAAAAGATGTGTTATGTTTCATTGTACATATATTTATAGATGACATTGTGATTTTATCGTTGACGGGTGGGCATGCTGATGCTGTCATCTTCTTGTTGGTCTGTTATTCTTACTTAGTCTCTGTACCTTTGTCGTTTTGGACGGGGTCTTTCAGCTGCATCATCTGTGAACGGATATAAAGTGGTTATATATCTTTTGCTATATAGGTGGTAGTATGATGTTGTTTACCTGTTTCTTCATAACAAAGTTGTTTTCCACTTCTGTGTGATGTTGCAGTTGTTTGCGTTTTTGTTTTTCGTTTAGTTGTCTGATCCATTGTTGTTGATGGTGTTACTGGTACATTACATTTGCTGATGATGTCAATGTGGACTTTGTACTTCCAATATTGGTTGTTGATGTGATTGCAAAGCGTATGTTATTGGCGGAGGATGGATTTTTACATTGTATATAGACATTTTTGGTTGAACCTTTAGATTTCTGAAGTGGTGGTGGTAGCTTTTTCATGTCTTCATTAGGATACATGTTGATGATATCTTGTGAACTGATGTTTGTTAGGGCACGCGCGGCCTCGTCAGTCATGAAGATTGTTGCTGAGTCTGTGATATCCGTTAAAATTGCCGAAACCTTGTAACTGTCAATATAAATGTTGTTATGCACATACTGTTACTGATAATAAATAATATAGTATCGTTTGGAGCAGAGCGTACAGAAGCTTGGGATCATTGACAGTTCCATGTTTTATGCAGAACCAATCGTTGCCCTTTTTATTTGTTGACTTTCCACATGTATTGCAGGCAACATGAAACCAACAATCTTTAAAGACAAAGTCGGATATTGTAGCCTTTATAAATTTTTTTTTATCCTGATGTATTTTTTGGATACTCAGTAATAGTTATTACAAGTAGAATCATGAAGTTACATTTGTGTATGATTTTTTACCACAATTTGAGAGTAGTCTGAGGCTTTTAACTGCTGTAAGGTTATTATTACTGGTGATGGAGATGTGGTTGCCAAACCTGATGATGTGTAAATGTATGTAATAAGAACTCATTATGTTGTATCTGTTTGTGACTATGAATCCAAATTGAAATTTTAGTTTTAGTTTTTGAGTGTAAAGAAGAAAGTGTGTG